GTTTATGGCTGAACTTCAGAATGAAGTTGCCTACGTATCCCGAAGATGGGAATCAAGCCTTACGTAGTTCAGTTCGGGTTCACTCGTGTATTAATACTCTCCTTTTGCGCTCTAACTTTTGCCAAGGCCGCCCTTTTTGGGTTTTCAACCTTGCGAGCTCAGTTTTTCCTTTCTGACGTACAAGTCTACACTGCCCGACGTCCCAAAAAGAAAGAAGAAGAGCTTATCTCCTCCCTCTGCTACCACTTTACAAACCGCAACAACATCTCGGGCTGACCAAGGGTCAACCTCTGATCCAGCCGATCAATCATCAACTTCAGCTCCATACTTGGTCCCAATATCTGAAAGAAAACATCGGCAACGACTTGTCAAAACTGCTGAGATGGGTCGCCCGAAGCCTGTTGCCCAAGATCTCCTAGCCGACCTCCCAGTTGATGTTGATGCTGGACCAACCCAATCCATGCCCCCACTAAAGCCAAAAAGAACAAAAAGGGTTCAGCCTAAGGCCAAAGCTACTGAGGTTGAGGCTGAGGATGCTTTGCCCATCTCACAATTGGCTGAGAGTAAAAAAACTGCTTTTGCTTCTGCAAAAAGGTCTGTTGAGGCCCAGCCATCAGAGTCCACCCAATCAAAGAAGCCGAGGTCATCGTCTGCAACGACCTCGGGTTCCAGAATACCAAAAGTCCCCTGGACACCTGAGATCACTCTAGAAGATAAGCCTGTCCTTGCCAGCGACAGCGCCGATGATATAAACGTCGGCGTAGCACTCAGTACTGCTCTACTTCTCCCAGGTAATCTTGAGCGGAATGCCAAGATGAGTGAGTATGAGAACTACGCCTTTATGCTGCAACGCTCTGTCTAAGTAAGTGCCTTCGTGCTGAAATTTGTTTTCTCTCTTACTTTGTAAAATTTTGTAACAATTTGTGCCTTGTGTTCTTTCAGGCCATCCAACATGCCCACTCTCTCTCCATGCAAGCTTTTGAAAACAGAGCAAAGTTGGTCGACCTGAAGAGAAAGGTTTCTGCCCTTAAAAAGGAGAACAAAACTCTTCAATTAAAGATGAAAAAACTGGAAAACCAGGCTGAGGCTGCCACCAAAGCCCAAACCCTTGCCGAGGAAAAGGCTGAATCTGTCGAGGCTATTAAGAAGGTCGTCGAGGCCGAAAAAAGAGAGGCCGAGGACAAAAAGGTCCAAGCCGAAAAGGAACTTCAGGAGGCCTTAGTTACCAAAGATGCTGAGATTAAGGAGGCTGTCGAGAAGGCTTATGCTCAAGGAATGGCCGACGTCACTGAGGAGTACAAACTGCAAGTTAGGCAGGCATGCAACAGGGGCTTCTCCCTTGGTTGGATGGCCCTTGCCAAAAAGCTCAACATCCCAGATACACCATTGCGCAAGGCTGATGATATCCCTCTGTCATTCCCTCTCCCTCCTCCTCCAAGTCATCCTGAAGAAGAATCCGAATCTGAGTCTGAAGATGTGGAGGGGAGTGAGGAGGAGGGTTTAATAAGAAAATCCAAGGTGGCTGTTAGGGCTAAGTCTCCTTCTCTGAATGTGCAGGTCCTGGACCTGACTCAAGATAATGATGGTGATGAAGTTATCAAGGAGGCCACCCCGGAGCAGGGTTCATCCGACATTCCTCAAATCGACAAGAGCGTTGATGAAACCCTTGCCGAGATCGACGCTGAGATTGCTGCAGATGAGGAAGCCGAGGTATCTCTTCAGGAGATTTCTGAGGTTCAGATCCAACCAGTTGCTGATGCTGAAAAGTCTTAACTTTCATGTCTTTTCTTTTGCACCCTTGTACTTTGTTTTGTTTTCTGGACAATATAAGCTTCCTTTCATGGCCGATATGCCTTTCTTTGTTATTTCGAAACAATTTACTTCTGGTAGGCCGTAGTGCCTTCTTTTGTACACAACTAAAACTGTTTTTCTATGGATGCTTTAATCTTTTAATTTCTCTTGATTTGCTTCTGCATGGTTCTATACTTAGAATATTTTGTATGCCTTTCATATTTTGCCTCATTTGTGTAATCTTCTCGGGGTTAAAGACCTCGGGTATAGTAAATACAAGCTTTACTTCGGCAAGATACTGACCTGTAAATTGCTGTAAATTTCAACAGATGATCATATGTCAGCTTAACATCATCTTGTAAATTGCTTGGCTTTACTTCAACTTGTAAATAACAACTTAACTTCAACTTGTAAATTGCAGCTTAACTTCAACTTGTAAATTGCTACAAATTTCAACAAGTAAAGATTAGGAATCATCTCGGCTTAACTTCAACTTGTAAATTGCTACAAATTTCAACAAGTGAAGATAAGGAATCAGCTTAACTTCAACTTGTAAATTGCTAAAAATTTCAACAAGTGAAGACAAGGAACCATCTTGGCTTAACTTCAACTTGTAAATAACAGCTTAACTTCAACTTGTAAATTGCAGCTTAACTTCAACTTGTAAATTGCTACAAATTTCAACAAGTGAAGATAAGGAACCATCTCGGCTTAACTTCAACTTGTAAATTGCTACAAATTTCAACAAGTGAATTAAGTGTCTCTGTTCTTCTCTCTGCTCCCAATGTGAACCTGAGTTCTACTTGGGTTCTCATTATTCATGTCTCCAAAAACACCAATATGTAACTTTATCAATCATATGTGTTTAAAGAAAAGGGAAAAGATTTTATTGATGACATCGGCCAAAAATAATGCACATCTAATGATAGAAGAATTTCAAATTACAAGTGTTCCAAGGTCTTGGCAGTGCTTTGCCCTCATTATCTCCAAGCCGATAAGCTCCATTGCCTAATACCGAAGTAATTCGGTAGGGTCCTTCCCAGTTTGGGCCAAGCTTGCCCTCTCTGGGATCCTTCTTGTTGCCGACGACTTTTCTCAGGACTAGGTCGCCGATTTGAAAATCTCTTGAATTGACCTTCTTGTTGTAAGCTCTGGCAAGCTATTGCTGGTATACTACGAGCTGAATTGCAGCTTTCTCTCTTCGTTCTTCCAAAAGATCCAGATCTCGGGTTAAGAGTATGTCATTGGTGCCATTCTCTACTCCCTAGGTCCTGATCCCTAGGATGCCGATCTCCAATGGGATGACTGTTTCTGTGCCATAAGCTGTAGAAATTTAATGTATAAATAGAAATGATTGTATTATTGATTGTTTGATTTGATATTTATTACAATGATTCATGATTCCTATATATAGAAGAGGGTGAGTGTGTAGTAGGTAAGGAGTAGGTGAGTGGAGGTGGTAGTGGTGTAGGGGGTTAGGTTTAGTGGAGTAGGTGAGGTGGTAGTGGTGTAGTGGGTTAGGTTTAGTGGAGTAGGTTTAAGTGGGTGAAGTAGGTGGAGAGTAGGTGAGTGTGTAGTAGGTAAGGAGTAGGTGAGTGGAGGTGGTAGTGGTGTAGTGGGTTAGGTTTAGTGGAGTAGGTGAGGTGGTAGTGGTGTAGTGGGTTAGGTTTAGTGGAGTAGGTTTAAGTGGGTGAAGTAGGTGGAGAGTAGGTGGATTTTAACAGCCCCCCGCAAGTTTATGGGGGATAGGAACTAACCAACTTGAGTTTGGAGAGAGTAACAAAACAAGAAAATACATAAAAATAAAAGAGGATAAGAGACACTGTATGGTCGTGTCAGACCATTGGTGAAGACACTGGATGGTGGTGTCATAACGTTGTAGAGGACACTGTATGGGGGTGTCATAACCATGTAGAGGACACTGTATGGTGGTGTCATAACGGTGTAGAAGGTGCAGATTGGGAATATGGAGCTTGCTGATACTCTGGACCATGTGGCTGTCTGTAATTGTAATTTCCCTGTGAAGGAGGTGGGCCCATAGCAGTATGGGAAGGGCCAGGACCAAGAACAGGATTAGATGACGGTGCATCAACCATATGACCCTGTCTGCCATAATAGTCATAGCCACCACTTTGGGGTGGGGGACCTTGCATTGTTGCTGGAGGCCTTTGGACCCATCCCGGACCAAATTTGTTTCTTGAAGCCACTTGTTGCGGCTGATAATTACTGTACGATTGAGGAGGATACTGTGAATTCTGAGAACAATATGGCCCTCGTTGCGGATAATCATAATCATACTCTGTTGGCTGCGCAGGATGTTGTCCTCGGGGTCCCCATTGTGGCGTACCAGCGGGCCAACGTGGTTGAAGCTCCTGCTGACCGCCACATAGACGAGACAGCCTTACAGACTAATCAATGCGATAAAGAAGGGAAGAAAAAAAGCGTAAGTTAGCAACTTTTTACTTGATCTATTTAAATAAATGACACTGTTGATCAATAAGAAACAGATGGAAAATGAATGAAGAAGTTGCTGCTTCAGATCCAGTTCCTGATTATACAATGGAGGTGCTCATGGTTGTCAGTTTGTCACAAACACAGCAGTTAAGAGTAGCAAACATACAAGAATACAATGACAAAAAACGTAATATCAACCCACGTAAGCTAACAAATGGAAATGGTTGAATAAGATACAGAGATCTGGAAAGCCGAAGGAACAAAGCATTTGCAGACTGGCTCTGCTCCAACGCATGTATAAGGATGCGCGAGCAGAGATAAGTGTGCTGAAAGCGGAAAACAAGGAGCTGAAGCGGAAGGCCACCGTGATGTTCCGATTTGGAGGTCCACCATATGCTGTAGTGGAGGAGTATGGGGGAGTGAACGTGCTCGGCGGCGTGGAAAACACGGAGGCAGCACCGTCTAGGGCCGCCCAGGACGGAGGCAAAAAGAAGAGACCGGCGGCAGAGTAGAGAAGAAAAATCCCGCCTGTGGATGTGGTTGTTTTGTGGTTTTTTTATTTTTATTTTTATTTTTTTTTTATTTTTTTATTTTTTTTGGTGTAAAATTGTGATCAGGGCGGAGTCCCGATAGAAATAAAATGAGTGTATTGTGCAAATCCGAATGGCTTGAAGGTACAAGACTGAGCAGAAAAAGTAGATGGAATGAATTTTTTATTTTTATTTATTTTTTTTATTTTTTATTTTATATATATATATATAAAGAAAAGATAAAAAGTTGAGGTGCAAGGAAAAGTTGGGCGGTGGAAAAGGTGAGGATGGTTTTGGGTGGAGAATATGTTAGAAGGGAAAAGTGTATATAATAATAATAAGAAAAGTGAAGTGGGTGGCCCGAGGAGGGTTCAAGTCATTTCTCTAATAATAATAAGAAAATGAATTGGGTTGATACAAAATAATAATAAAATAAATGAGTGGAGAGAAAGGGACCAGAGAGACAGACAGAGTACTCGAGTTTGTGGGTTATGTATCGGAACCAAGTCGATAAGGAAACCATCGCAGGTTGGAGGAGTGGATCTTCAAGGCGGATCTCGCAGCAGTCCTCACTGAGTTAGTCCAAAACCAACCGAGTACCCTCCTGGGAAACAAGGCGGTTCAGGTTGGTGTAGGCGGGCCGCTCAATGTCAAGAGAGCGCCTGCAGATTTCGTAAATAGCTTCATTGTCAAGAAGCACAGCGACATCAGTATGCTCCAGGAGGGAATGGGTTGAGAGGACACTGTTGTAGGGCTCAACAACAGATGTGGAGACTTGACGAGAGGGATAGACAGTGAAACCAAGCTTTGATTTCTTGCCATAATCAACTGAGAGGCGCTCCAAAAGAAGGGAACCAAGACCAGATCCAGTGCCCCCTCCAACAGCATTGAAAACTAGGAAGCCTTGGAGGCCAGTGCAGTTGTCAGCAAGTTTACGAATACGGTCCAGGCAGAGATCAACAATCTCCTTCCCAATTGTATAGTGACCACGGGCAAAGTTGTTGCCAGCATCTTCCTTGCCACTGATGAGTTGCTCAGGGTGGAATAGCTGACGGTAGGTTCCAGTCCTCACTTCATCTATGACAGTGGGTTCAAGGTCTACAAAGACAGCACGAGGGACATGCTTTCCCGCACCAGTTTCACTGAAAAAGGTGTTGAAGGCATCAGCAATGGTGAACAGGCTTAACAGGGTGGGTGCTAGACTTGTAACTAGCATTCCTAGATGATGTTGATCATCATGAGTAACAAACAACAAAGGAAAGGACCCCCATTCAGTGCATGGTGGGTGCTCTGTGTGTGTGTGTTTTGAACCATCATTGTTGCAGACGAGTGAAGGTAAGTGTAGAGAATTTTAGCGGACTAGGTTGAGGTCCGGCGGGCGGCCAAGGCGAAGTTGCCCCCCGCCGGTGAAGCAAAAAATACTACGTTCTAAACCAGCTCTGATACCATGTAAAAAATAAATTGATAGGTTTAAGTGGGTGAAGTAGGTGGAGAGTATGTGGATTTAGTGGGTTAGGTTTAGTGGAGTAGGTTTAAGTGGGTGAAGTAGGTGGAGAGTATGTGGATTTAGTGGGTTAGGTTTAGTGGAGTAGGTTTAAGTGGGTGAAGTAGGTGGAGAGTATGTGGATTTAGTGGGTTAGGTTTAGTGGAGTAGGTTTAAGTGGGTGAAGTAGGTGGAGAGTATGTTGGTGTAGTGGGTTAGGTTTAGTGGAGTAGGTTTAAGTGGGTGAAGTAGGTGGAGAGTAGGTGAATGTGTAGTAGGTAAGGAGTAGGTGAGTAGAGGTGGTAGTGGTGTAGTGGGTTAGGTTTAGTGGAGTAGGTGAGGTGGTAGTGGTGTAGTGGGTTAGGTTTAGTGGAGTAGGTTTAAGTGGGTGAAGTAGGTGGAGAGTAGGTGGATTTTAACATAAGCCATGGCAGAGGGGGATTCCCCTGTTGATCTTCTCGGCGTAGTCCGATACGCCCAAAGCATGTTGGGCAATTCGTCTATCCACTTTCCTTTTGCTGCCTGCAGCCTCTTCTTTATTCCATCCAAAATTACTTTGTTGGATGCTTCTGCTTGCCCATTACTTTGGGGAAAACTTGGTGTTGAAAAGTAATTCTTGATCTTGAATTTCGCACAAAAGTTCTTGATAAGTTTGCTGTCAAACTGCGTTCCGTTGTCGACAACTATTGCTCTTGGAATCCCAAATCTAGTGATGATGTTTCTCCATATAAAGTTCTTGACGTCCATATCTCGGATTTTGGCAAGAGGTTCTGCCTCTATCCACTTCATAAAGTAATCTGTGGCTACCAGCAAGTATTTTCTCTGCCCAGTTGCCTGGGGAAGTTGCCCAACAAGATCCATGCCCCATTGGGCAAACAACCAAGGGCTGGATACTGGGTTTAGGTCAGCAGCTGGCTGATGTATCAAAGGTGCAAACCTTTGGCATTGTTCACACTTCTTCACGTAGGCTTCAGCATCCTTTTGCATGTAGGGCCACCAATACCCCTGAGTAATGGCCCTGTGGGGTAAAGATCTGCCCCCAGCATGGCTTCCACAAATTCCTTCATGAATTTCATATAGGAAATCTTCAACCTGCAAAGGGTGTACGCACCTTAAAAGGGGTCCAGTGAAGGACCTTCTGTAGAAGTGTCCATATTCTGTCAGACTGAATCTTGATGATTTCAATCTGACTTTGTGTGCCTCCTTACGATCTTCCGGCAGCTTTCCTTCTTTTAGGAATACAACAATTACATCCATCCAACTTGACCCCATGTCCACACACATTGCTTCCTGCTCTATGCTCTCTGGTTCTATGCTCAGGCCCGACATATAGTCGATCATAATTGTTCTTGTTTTTTCAGTCTGCATTGAGCTTGCCAGGTTAGCCAACGCGTCGGCATGGGCGTTGTCATCTCGGCTAACTTGGAGTAGTCGGTAGTTCTAAAATAGGGCTGCCAATCTGATGACCTCTTTTGCGTATGCCGACATCGTTTCGTCTCTGGCTACAAATTCTCCTGTTGACTGGTTAACAATAAGTTGTGAATCACAAAAAACGATTACCTCATCTGCTTCTGCTGCTGCTGCCAGTTTTAGCCCTACAATTAATGCTTCGTACTCCGCTTCATTGTTTGAGGCCTTGAACCCCAAACGGATG